AAAACCCTTCTGCAATATGAACATATTAGATCTGAGCAGAGAGAGAGACTGATGGTATTCTCASTACTTTACAATGACCCCCTTTAACTCCGAGGCTACCTGTGCWCTTGAAATGCTGGTGAAGTGTTTCACTCAGTTGTCTGCAAGGGACAGGGTGTTTGGATAGAGAATTTCAGCCTGAAAACCTCAATATTTACAAAAGGGATAAGATAATTCAAGTGTTAACAGTAAAATAGACTATAAAGTCAACAGTTGCAATAATATCGCAATTTAGTTGATTATCCTTGAAATGAATTCACTGCTAGTTTTTGTTGCCTATACTCTTCTTCATTTTCCTCTTTACCAATCTGGTGCTGTATTCATAATTCAGGCAAACTACAATGTGATAAATGACAAAAATATGATTAATTCCAACTATAAATATTAACAAGTAAAAAAGCTGTATATAGCTGCAATATTTGCATTTACAGTGCTTATGCAATATGCCAGAGTAGAGAAAAAGTGCACCGTTGTTCTATTAATGGCTTAATTTTGGAATAACAAGGGAACATTTATTTGGGTTTTGGTGATTCGTGTTGTAGAAAATTAAAGCTTTTCCCTAAATGTTGCCAGGTAAAATATCATTTGAAGAGCAAAAGTTGTTTTTTTTTTTGTATGACTTGAAGCAGTCCACTTTATTATATTAGGTGCTTAGTGTGGTGCAAAAATAGCTGCACTTTTCATGTTCTTTTTAATGTCAAAGATAAAGTCAAAGCATGTTGCATTGTTAAAGGTAAAACTCCTGCTGTTTTAAAAGAGCAAGCATTTGTCTGAAAAAAACAACTTTTAAACCAGGCATCATTGCACATCCTGTCTACACTGAGAACAAAATTGGGAGGATGTGAACGGACAAAGAGATTCATTGCTGAAATCTATGTCTTGYACATGTGTAGTGTGACAATAATTCACAAGATTTTCACTTCATTTGTTAATTATGATGGATAAAAGARCAGTAAAAATACGTGATCATCTAAGACTCACATAAGTCATCAAAAACCAAAACAGATATTCATGTTTTGTAAGCAGAGTGGGTATGCTGATCATTGTTCCCAGGCTGATTTTCTCCTTAAGCAGGGAGTCACAAGGATGAGAATATTTTCTYTCCTTTGTCTGAGCATATGCAGAATGCATGCACATATATGTATATATGTTTATGGGTACTTCTTTCTAGATACCAATTTAAATGAAAGCACTAAAACCAGGTTCATGGTAAGAAGCTTCTTTATAAGCTTTTAAAACAGCRTTTTTGTGAATGAGGAAAGGAGAGGTAGCCAATAGGTTTCTGTGCTTTTGTGTACGTACCAAGCACAGAAACATGCACATGAAAGCATTTATATTTATATATAAGCATACATAAAATAGAAAAAAGTAAAGGTATGACTGTAAAACTAAAACTCTGAAAGTAGATGTGTCTTTTCYGTGAAGAGACTTTGTGGCTTCAAAACCACTTTTTGTCATTTCAGTCATCCCATATTAGGTTAATTTGTTGTSTTTTCCCTTGCTTCTCAGGTCTTGCACTGCACTTAGAGGCACTTTGCCAAGAAAAAGGCAGTATTTAAATCTTCAAAGTGATTGATAGAATTTGGAGTGGCAAAGGKAACCACAATGTGAATAGAGTGATCTTCAGGGACAGGCTGTGGCYGTGTGGGACCCTCCTCACTGGTGTCTGGTACAGCTGCTTGTTTAAAGATACTGCCTTGCGTGCCTCAGGGACACGGTGGGCTGTTGGGTTTCGACAAGTGGCATCCARTATTAAATTGTTCTCTTAGAAGTCTAGTTCTGCTCCCAGATACCTTCCTGATTCTGGTTCACATTTTGTATTCCAAAGAACTGTAGGATGGGTGCTGTGTTTTCTGCATCAAAAGTTTTATGCTTGTGGTGTTTTCTCTGAAGCGTCACAGCTATTCCTCTTCTGTTTCTTCCATTTTTGCCATTGCTCTTACAAAGTTATTGTATTTGAAGCCGATTATTTTTCTTATGCCAAATTCATGACACTGCATTCTGGAAGAAGTTTGTTTAGATGGTATTTTTGTTGGACATCTAGATAGTTAGCTATTCTTTGATTCCTTTTTCTGTAYAGACTTTTCAGAATCACACACAGCAATGCAGACTTGTGAGTGCTCTTACAGTGGATGTCAAAGGCTTGGCAAAAAAATAAATGTATCCTCTTCTTTCCTGACATTCTTAGCATATTTTTTCGTTTGCACATTAGGTCTTCCTTATTTCTCCATTTTCCAATATCAAAAGTATCACATTTATTATTTTGAATCCTCTGTTGTAGTSAAAGAGTGTTCCTGTGTAGGCCTGATGAAAAAAACTCTGGGTTTTGTTCTGTTTGGCAGATCTCCGTAATTGTCTGTGGGAGTGTGTAATACTGCAATTGAGCTTCATAGTCCTGCTTTAATTTACAACATTTTAGGGCATATCCCTTCTGACCTAACAAGTAGGCACATGGTATACAAAGTAGTAATTTCATTAAAAAAAARAAAAAAATCAAAAGAGGTACAGTTGCAGTGCATCAGTACTGCTACCATCCCTTTACACTAAAAACAGGTTGCTTGGATGAGTAAGAATGACTCACRAGAGCGTACTGATGCTTGAAAAACCTGACATTACATTTAACCTAATTTATAACAGACATTTCAGAAATAATTCAAGTTGCCATGGGATCCTTTATAAAAACAGTCATGGTAGGTAATGTCTGGGACTGTGTTAGACTAAGTTACATAACTTGCTTAACTTTTTTATTTCCTCCTGTTTATAAATTATTGGTGGGGTGAGATACAAAGGTCTCCGCAAAATCTTTGGCCTTTCTTGGGGAGCTTTTTCACACTTTCTCATAATTCCGTGTGTGAATATACTGTGGCTATCCATAGAATGGTGTTCAAGAGCTCTCCAGCTGCTTTTATTTTTCAGTGAAATCCTCTGGAATCTTGAAATAAAATGTCTTTAATAAATAACTTTATCATCCGTGATAAGTTGTTCTTGCACACGGCTTTTGAGGATTTCTTTGCAAATGGTAAATTCTTCTTTCTCAATTAATAAWTTTTTTATTAGGTATTGAAATAACTTTTATGTAAGGAAAGCAGGTATATTTACTGTCTTGTTATCAATGTCAAGTTTGGGACAGAATAAAAATAACATGAAGCACACTTGAAAAAACAAGATTGAAAAAATTGTGAACCACATATTTATATGYCTGCTTGGGAAAAAAAAAGGTTGTTTTTTTTTCAAAAATCAGTCTTAAAACCATAAATCAGGAGAAATATTACAGAAAAGCTGAGTTTCGACATTCAGGGTGTGAGTCCCAGAAATCATCTTTTTTTTTTAGGCCATGTATGGAAAATAACTCTTTAATTTCTGGAGAAAAATATTTTGAGGCTTGTACTTTATCTCTGGGCTTCCAGCTAGCATTCTGCCAGCCAAATCAACTGAGATTTTGCAAAACAATCAATAACGTGACATGAAAGCTGTTCATGTAAGTGGGAGTGCGTAATTTTTAAAGAATGTTTATTAGTAAGCAGTAAGAGAAGCACAGGCAAATATCAATTCTGTTTGAATTCTGAAAGATTTATCTCTGATGTTAGTCAACACATAATAAGCTTGAGCCTTTTATATCATGGTGCTTTGATGCTGTCCAGATCTGGTTTTGTGACTGTTTCTATGTACTTGGAAGTAAAAATCAGAAAAGCAAACTTCCCTACTGTTAGGTAAAATACACTGTATATACTTGCTCTAAAGCAGCAACAAGTGCATTCGAATTCCATAAATATCATGTTAACAAGAAAAAGAAATTTCTTATATTGTAACAGATTTTTACACTGATTTCTTGAAAGAGCAATTTATATTTGCCCAGGCATGCATTCAGAAAGGTGATTTTCAACAAGCCAAAGAATTCTGTCTTCTCCAAAGAATTGTGTCTTCTCCCTCAGGAGTGAATATTCTTTGYCCTCACTAGAAAAAGAAAAGTTTCAAATACCCTGAAATTTCATGCATAAGAATTTTTCAGGACCAAGATTATCATCTCTACARACAGATTTTCTGCAAACCTCAAAACTTGAATATAACAAAACTTTTGCATTCAACTTTACAAGGTCATTAATGTTAAGCATGACTCAAAAGAAAAAAAGATGTGGAGAGCTGATTTTAAAAAAAAATTCAGAATCAGATAGGAAGAGCCTTTTGGGTTTATCACGCCTGTTTCTACCAAACTTTGCATTCTGGACAATTTAAAAAAAATAACTGTACTGTGGTAGTGATTGAGAGCAATGATATTGTTTGTATATGATCTACTTCAATAAATGGATCATACACATAAATATATTTCTATTTTCTATATTTTCTACATAAAGTTTTGTACATAGATTTTACTAAATCACAGTAGCATTGTGCTTAAGACATCAAACACRTGATGTGAGCTCTTTTAATAATCTTGATTTTGGTAGTAGTGAGATAATTTTTACTGTTATATCTCAGTCCAGTAATGCATTTAAGAACACCTTTCCTCTAAGTATGTGCAGAGCTGCCTGCAGTACTTGCCCATTTATTTGAGTCTGTAGCTTTTACTGTTCGTAATGTTTTAATGCAGCTGCTCATCGCAAAGTATTGTGTTCTAACGTGAACAAGAGGCTCTTCTAGTCTTTGTTAGCCTCTTCTTAGGTGCAAACTGCCAACAAGAATAAAATTTTCACTGAGGAAAACTTGATTGGAGGAAAACTTGGCAATCACACATTTTAAAATGCTCAGTAGTTACTAGGTTCTCATTCAACAACACACCTACTGGCAAAAATCCTATTAAGAGCTATTCAATAGAAATCCAAAAAAATAAATTGAAACACATCAGTTTATCGTCTAGTTCCCAAGGCACTCATAACAAGTTTTTTAAAACTGCAAGTCAAAAATGTAACGTGGTATTTTTTTGTCTTTTCTCCTCTTTTCTCTTTCCCTGGTCACAGGGAACTGATGGCCACAAGAGACATCCTGTGAGCTTGACCCTGACCGTGTRTCAGATGGCTTCAGTGGAACGCCAGGTATAGTGGTGGACATTTTTGGTCTMCAGAATGCTTGGCAACCCAGCTTGGAGACTGCTGTTCACAAGGGCAGGGAATGTGCCAGGTTTCACAGATCTGTACTTGCAGGAGGAGCACTAGACCTGTGAGGCAGCACGCTGCCATCCAGCTCCTGGCTGGCACCCAGGCACTGTGAGTAATCCTTCAGTGTGGGAGGCATTCCAGCTGAAGGGAGCCATCTCTCATTCCTCAAGCCCCCAGCAAAAAMCCCAAATGAGCAGCTGTTTCCTTGGGAAGAATAGGGGYTCACCAGGCTCATGGGACTTTCAASATCTGTTCTTTKGAGGATTTTGAGGTGCACTGGTATCACATACGGTTGGGTAGAATGGGAGAACTTYGTCTCATAAGAAGCAACAAGGAACGCAGGTCTTCTGGCCCCTCTTGTCTTTTTGGACCGTCAGCTGATCTCCAGTTCCATCGGGGTGTAAAAGGCGTGTTCCCATTTCTCCTTGGCAACGGGCTGACAGCAGAGAAGTGTAGACAGCTGTGCTAACTCTAAGAAAGCGGGAAAACCAGGCTTCACCAATGCCACCTTGGTGATCCATGGCTTAGCAGTGGTCATGGTGTCCCCACATCACCCAGAGCCAAGCACAACCCCTGTAAGGCACATGGGACAAACCCCAGGGCTGCGGGCTCCAAAGGTGAGCAAGCAGTTCAGCCGTGCYATCACTCATCCTTACGCCTGCAAGCAAAACCCTTTTTCCACATATTCTTTATTCCACTGCCAGTCTTGTGAATCACCACATCCTTCCCTGCTTCCCCCTCACTCGTACGCACTTCTATCTTCCCTAATATTTTTTAAAAGATGAAAAAAGCATGAAGATTTCTGCCTACAGATGTTTTGGGATATTCCTGCCTTTGCCCTATTCAGTTGGCAAGGCACACAGTGCAGCAGGAACAAAAAGGTGACTTTTTTCTTGAACTTTATGCTAATAACTTCATACTAAACAGCAGGAATAATTTCAAAATACCAGGAAACCAATTAAAAGAAAAAAAAACCTTTGACATGTAATAAATAATTTAACACCTCATCCTAATGCAATCTGCAATGTCTTTCAGTCACGTTATGGACGTACACTCATCAGTTTTTGTGGTGCTTTGCATAAATTTCATTAGTAGGAACAGAGTAATATTAAAACACACACATAGGCACAATTTTCTGGCTTTTCAGCTCATTATGAAATACTTTACCTCTGGGCAGATGACTAATATGCTATTAAATTTCCCTCTCCTTGARTTGCGTCATAGCCAAAGAAAGGGTGCAGTCAGTCGTAATCTTTATTAAATGAGCTGAATACACCCACTCAGGGAAAATGCTGTTGTATGACTTTAATGTGTCCTGCAGCAGCATTAACATGCTTTTAGGTCATTCAGCTCCATGGGGACCTACAAGAATAAATCCACGGTGAAAATTGGGGGAATTTCCCAGCCCGTGCTGAGTAGTTTGGAAGGCATCACCCACGAGGTYTAAATTCCTGCTTAGCAGAAGGAAAACCTTGCCTCATGTTGTATTGTRACCCTGCAGCCCAGTACAGATGAAAGTTTTTGCTGTCATAACAAGGCAGTTGCTTTTKTTTAGTAATAAAAGAGAGGTCTGCCCAGTTGTACCCCAACACTGGCCAAATTTCCACAATCCTAGTTCAGATCTCCTCTCTACGCAGGACCCTTCATATAATTTTCCTTATATTCTTGGATTATTGGTTTCTTATACAGAAACCAGGATAGTTGAATTGCTTTTTTTTTTCTGTTCCCCCTAGCAGTGGGATGTGTAAGCCTGATGTGCAAAGGCTGGCATGGGCCCTCTACAGCATACTGGGGCTGCAACTGGAACTGGGGAGTTTAATTGATTCTGGGGTGTCGAGTGCTGCAGCACTGCAGCTAATTCCTCTAATGCTGATGCTTAAGCAAGGGATAAAATCTGTGATGAGTTTTTGTATAGCAGGTCACTGCTGCAAACCATGGGGATAAAATGAACTGCAGCAAACTATTTGTGTGCGGCAATATAATCCTGAAGAAATTTTTTGTTTTGTTATAAAACTCTAATCTTTCAATGGATTAATCTTTAGCAGAATAGGCATTAAACTTGAATTGTTTCTTATTGATTTTATTATTAATTCTGTCTGGAACAAGACATTAATTCCTTTTTTTCCTTTTAAACTGAGGAGCAAGAACATGCAACCACTATGAACCATAAACAGAAAATCCAAAACATATTATATAATATACAAAATGTCAGAAAACCTTTTGTGAATACAATTTGGGCCAAAAACATTCTGTTTTCAAGGTGGAATAGAAGACACTTCACTTTACCAGAAATTAAATCTTCTCTGCAAATACTAGCTGGATTAAGCTAGTAATTTCAACAGAAAAAGTTTCCTCTCTGGTAAMTTCCAATGAAGAAACTTCTTCTTTGTCACTGTAACTCCTTTTTCCACCCTTAGAGCTAGTTCTATTAAATGTTGCATAAGTGACTCAAAGGCATTTAGAAGAGTACAAATTTATTTGACCATGCAGAAAATTTGGGATATACCCTGATAGTAACTGACAATATTGAAAATGTATTCACCTTATKAAAGAATCCCATTCAATATCTTGTTATGAATGGAGAATCATCTTGTTTGCTTGTATTAAAGGATACATTTTTGGGGGGGTAAGGGAATGATTTTTAAATTAAAGAAAAGATATTCTGAAAGCTTTTTCTAATGTTTGTAGGTATTTTTCTTTCCAAGCTTGAATTTAATGAAATAAACTTGTAATATTTTAGACATTTTATTTTGTAATTAAGAAGTTCCTTATCCTCTCATTGAAATACATTCTAGTGATAATGCTGTAAATTGTAGGAWTTCTAGGAAATCCTAGTTATTCTAGTAACTCCAAAGATACAATGTAACTCTAGTAATTCTAAGAAATTTCACCAAAAGAACAATATGGAAGCTAAATTTTAACTCTTTTCAAGGAAAAAAAAGCAAATCTTACTTATTTCTCTTAGTARCTTCATCAGTAAGAACTCCTTCTTTACCCTTGCTTATTGGTACGTTGGATTACAGTTGAAGTACTGAATTGATAAATGRCAGCACAACATGAACAAGGGAACAGCCATCAGGATGATAATGAATCAAGGGCTTGTTAAAAATTGCTCTATATGATATGCATTTATGGTGAATGCCTTGGCTTTGCAACTTTTATCCTTAGCCTTACAGTGATATGTAATAAATCCTTAATTCTTTGGACATAAATTTCCTAACGTTCATCTTTAAAGAACTTTTAAAATGTCTAAATGCTTTATGGGGAAGATTAAGAAATATTACTGTGACAAGAATTCCACTAAGATAAATATTAGATTGCCAAATCTACTGGAGTTTTTGAMAGGCAAACCCCATCTTTATCTCATTATGACTGAAATAACAGTAAAAGTTTTACCATGTAACTATTTTAATTTATTCTTCAGTTTTTCTATAACTTGCCACTTCATTCAAAAAGATGGAATCAGAAAAAAACCACCAAACCAGACAGTGTATGAATCAAAACAAACTAAATATTTCCAACTCCTTTTTGATGAAAATCACTTGTTCTTAAGGATTGCTAGTAAATCCAAATGATTAAAGATTAGGATCCTATGAATAACTTATTTCATAATGCTAAAGACAAAGAAAAGAGAAAAGCAGCCGTACAATCGTACAGTTCTTACTAAAGTAACAAACCAGCAATTCATAAGCACATTAGAAAAAAAAGATGAATAATTTAGATGTCAAGCTGACACATACTGGACTTGCTTCCTTACCCCTTAAAATTCATAAGTCTATACAGGTCTTATAGTATGATTCAGATCTCATAATTTAATGAAACAAACTTAATCAGAGGCATTCATTAAATAACAATTCCAAAAGAGAGWTAATTAAGAATGACGAATAGAAGATCTTCTTTCTTCTCCTCTATCATTCTGTAAAAAGTTCCACAAAGGTGTAATTTGCTAATAAAATCACGTGATCCAAATCAATGTTTCATGCATGTAATTGCTTTGCGTTGTGCGCTTCTTGAAGAGACCTTGGAAATTTCCATGAGAATTGAGGATTTTCCTTCTTATTATTATTTTTTTTTAACTATCTTCTCAGCTAAGACATTGATAACATCTTTTTTGTACTGTCTTAAAAAGAAATGGACTAAAAGCAGGAAATACATAGAATTTGGAATATATTGAGACTGGGTGTTCCTAAAATTGCACATTTGCAAGAATCTTTCAAGAGTAAGCTGGTCTTCAGTTTAAATACAGCAAAGTTCTTAATTGCACCCCCATTTCTGTCCCTGTTGGCCTAACAAAAAAAACCATATTCTGTATGAAGGGTGTATTTCTGCAATTTTGCTAAACTACTTTTATTTTGCTTTCCTTCTCTTCCCTCCTTGTTTTTAAATGTAAAATTAATGACTTTTAAAATTGTAAAGATTCAGTACAGATGTTTTTGCTGTTTCTTCTTGATGCAGAAAATTTCTGCAACCATGTCAAGAATGAAATATTATTTCATACTGTGTGCTGCTGTGAATKGAGTCGGCTACTGTCTATCTTTGAGAAACTCCACCATCAAAAGATTAGATGGTAACTTGATTTGGTAAAAAGTACTGACTGTATTTAATATATTTTCATTTACAAGAACAGAATTTATCCTTGGTAAATGTTAGATATCKAATAGCTTTCAGAACTGTCCTGAGTTACCAGGCAATATATTGATTTCCGTGGAAGGAATGACCACACAATAAAGACCAATATGAAATTTCTCCTATTCTTCTATACTCTTACTGCAGTATTCAAAACTGCAAATGAGGCTGAGTTTGCAGCACAAAGTCCTTAACAACAAGGACTATTACACATTGGAAAACACTCATTTGTGTAAAAAAAAAAAAACAACCCAAAACATAATCCTATTTTTATAACAGATTTTATGGGGTTTCCCTTAAAGTTTCTAGTTTACTCAAGAAGCGTTTGTTCAGAAATAGATGTCTTGCTTGAAGGGTGTAAGTTTCCTGTGGTYAATTCACTATTTTTCTGTTTGTCTGTTTAGGTTCGTTTTTTTTCATGTTTCTAGCAGTATTGTCATTACAAAAATCTGACTGATCTAATGTGACATGTCTTCATTATACCACTGGGATATTAATGAGAAGAGGAGAAAAAAAAATCAATGGGCCTGACATTTGAACYGAAGTTGGATTTTTATTAGACAATTTTTTTTATGTGTTCAAATGCAAACCATTTTTCTGGCTGCTGGCTTCTACCATCCTATTTTCCAGTTGGCAAATGGAAAAGCTAAGAACAAGTGGCACAGAGACTACCATTTCTGTATTTTGCMAGAAACTTTCTCTTTGTTTTAGTGCCCTGTATTCATACTTCCATTTTCTGATTTGTGATCGGCTACTTGTACATGCTATTATTTTCAGAAATTGCTTATGTAGCCACTGTTTGATTAGCACATCSTTAGAAATGTGACTAGCAATTCAGTTGCATTTGTTTAGATTCCAGTTGGTAGGAGTGAGTTAAACATGTCCCACCAGCGGGACTTCAATTCTGCATGAGGAGAGTTCTGTGGATTTTCCAGTTTTCAGAAAAATTTTCTCCAGAGAAAACTGGTATGGACAGAGAATATCTGCTATGGGCTACAGATATTCAAGGCTGACAGATCTTCAACTTTGCWTTTTGGGTACTGTGTTGATTTTCACAAGCTGTCCTATAACTCAGAGACTTTTAGCACCTACCCATCACAACTTTCTAGTCCAGTATTATTAATCCTCATCTGCAGAGTAGTTAAAATCATCATTTTCGTACCTGWGTTTTTGTGTTGTACTGGGGCTGTCCTTATCTTACAGCTTGTACATGCCCTGGTGGCATCGGTGACCACCAGAAGTTTGGGAGTATCGGGATAGCAAYGCCTGGGTGTGCTTCTCCTCCATGCCTGCTCCCCTGGCAGTCTAAACCTGTGGTTGTGAAGCTGAATTAAGGGTGGTGCATTAGATTGAAAACCCAGGAAAGTGGAATATCTTCCAATAGCCATTCTGACTGCTTTACATCTTTGCATTTTCTTTATGCTTCTTAGCTATATGTGAAAACACAAAAACCCACTGACTTCGTGTCTCAATGTCTCCATTAATTTTACAATAGAGGTGACATGAAGACACAAAAACAATGGAAAATCCCTAGAACTTTGAATCATGACAGAATGGTAAGTATACATAGGTTCTGCATAGGATAAACCACTTTAGTAACCATTTGTAAAATTTTCTTTCATTTCTTTGTTTCATTCTGTAAAATCTGAAGGTGTTTAAGCATGGTCCTACACCCTGAAAAAAATCTATCCCAATTATCTCTGACATTGCTGGGATTAATATGAAGGTGGCAGGATTAATGATATCAAACCATCTCCTGTTTTGTATGAACAGTGATAAACTCCTCAATACAACTGGAGCACAACCTTTATTAGACATGATCTGACCGGACTTGTTCCTCTATTGTAACTCAAGATTAAAGCACTTCTTGGCACATTTTTTTAACTAATCCTCTCTCTGGCTGACTCATAACAGCTGTTAAATAACTAGATATTTAGCTAAAGATGAACTGAACCTATAAATTTAAAAGTGATATAATAGCCAGCTCCTTTATGCATAGCAAACTGCTTCTGTCATAATTTGAATGCTTTATGCTGACCTCACTGTCTGCATCTGATTGAGCTGATCTGATATCACAGCTGACAGAAAGTGATAATAATGGTGATTTTATATTTCTGATGCATTATGRAGGAGGTCAGAGACCACATAGGAGTGAGAGGCACCATGTGGTGGGAGATGGAAAAGTCAACATGTTTTTGAAACATCCAAAAGATTGTTTGGAGTTTGGACCCGAGTGTTTCAATGGCAGCACATGCAAAAAGTAAAAATGCCTTTTTTTCTTTATTTTCTTTACCCCCTTTGCCAGTTACCTGGTAGTCTCTCTTTTCTCCCAAGTGACTGTCCATGAAGTCACAGCCTTGTTATGGATGTAATGGCACRTTGACTATTTTTTTCTCTTCCCTCTCAGAGGTTCTGACTTGTCAGAAACTTATAAGTAATACTACATGGTGCTCCTGCAGCAGTTCATTCTTCCTTGACCATAGTGCCTTGGAAGTGTTGATTTTTCTGATGGGAGAGGCTGACACCTAGAGAAGTAAAATTACTTATGTAGGGTGGMTTCAGTCTTTTCACCCACTGCTCCYTCCCAACTTACATTGCAGAGTCCTCATACTTCTTTTCTCCACAACGAAGAGACATCATGCATACAAWGGCTTTTACTAAAAGAAATCTATGAAAAAACTCAACCAGATTTTAAAAAAGCATTTTTTCCCTCTTGTTGACAAAGTAACTTGATTCCTTGAAACTTATTCTCTCTGTTCAATTTGTGCTGGTCCTAAGGTCTCCATTAACCTTTGSAGAGATATTTTAAATAATATCATCTATTGCAGGAATTTAATCTAGGAAGTGAGACGTGCACAGGTTTCATGAGCACAAGTTTCATGAAGACTGAAGTACAATGACAATTTTAAAGATCACAGGCACATTCCTGAAACCTTTTAAAAAGACACTCATCTTTAAGCCTGTGTAAAGTGCCTTAGGACTTGAAGGTTAATGATTTGAGTAATGTGTTGTCTCAGCACAGACCTGAATTCATACCTAGAAGTGAAAATGCTCAGTTTTGTTCTTCCCACAGTAAAAATGAGACCACCAGTGTTTATGGGCACTGGTGGCTTCAGGACATGTAATTTTCTTCTGTTTTGAATTAGATTTGTATTGTTGGAAAGCCTAAGAGAGCTTAGTTAAGCTGTACTCTGCAAACATGGAATGAAATAACAGGTTTTTAAGAACTGATGAAGCAAAATCAGGCAGTGACACAGATGCATCTGTCATGCTACTAGTGTGAGCCAGCTGACAGTAAATCTCACTAATGTGATATGTGATATGTGATATGTTGTATGTGATCTCTTCTGATCAACAGCAACCGTACTGCTGTTGAAATCACACTCTTGGAGGCACCCAGTGAAAAGCACCAATGTGCAAAAAAATGTTTGCAGTCAAATGTGTGTGGAGTTGGCTTACAAATRCATGCTTGGAAAGTGGAAATTTTCAGCCTATTAGTGCCTCACATTTTTGCTGAAAGTAGCAGCATACATGGTTGCTTGTGGCTTTGGAAATACAATACAGTGAGATTATTGGCACCAGAAATACAGAAGGGACTGGCTCAGAGGTCTGAGCCAAGCTCCAATCACTCATCTTTTTCAGAAAGTGGTGTTTGCCTCTGGCTCCTGCTCTCCCCTCCACCCTTCAGCTGAAGAACTCAGCTTTTCTACCTCAGACATAAAGCCATGGGAAAACAAATACTTTTTTTTAACCTTTCAACATAATTATCCATCAAATTTACACAGATTTTAAAGGTCAGTACTATGTCCAGCATCCCTCCTCAAAGCCGCRCCGCCTTCACACTCACTAAATTACACCTTGTGTCTGTTTTTCAGCCGACACAGACTGATGTACAGCTGGTGATGACAAAGTCAGATAAACAAAGAGAAGCAGAGGCAACATGAGCCCGTGCATGAGTTTGTAGTGAAGGTAAAGTACTAGCTGTCCTTCAGAACAGAAAATCTAAAACTTATCTTCCTTTTTCTTTCCCAAGAGAAAGTAAACATTGGTGGGTAAAAAGGCAGGGAAGGAGTAACACAGGCTGGAGAAGTCAGAGGATATCAGTAGAGCTTTTAGTAGACAGCAAACCCCATTATGAGATGCACCCCTGTAGCATGTACAGCTTCCAAAAGGGCTTCCAGCCCTTTCTTTCTGACAGGATAGTGTAAAGAAGGTCTGGTACTAGAGAACAGGAAAAAAAAAGCAATACATTTCTCCAATTCATGGCTCATGCACTAGGCTATGTCATGGCTGAGGGACATGAGTTACTGGGAAATAGGTGCTTTAAAGGAAAAAATACCTGTAGATGTGACAAGTATGATATTGCAAATCAACAGATCATGATGTGATTTTTGAACCCATGCAGACAAAGCATGGGTTCCTTATTACTGCTTTTAAATACTCTGGCTTAGCTTCTCTTTACAGTCTGCCCTAACCATTTTTGCTATTTTGGCAGTGCCAAGCACCATGAAGCTGACRGTTTGCTGGGAGGAAGTGGCCACGGCCATCAAATTGTTGTGCCCTGGCAGTGCTTGGCTAGGTAACTGGGATAGCCCTTGGAAAGGTGGTAACAGAGGGCAAGCCTCTCTCTCTATTGCAGCTGCTGATTGTAATGCCAAACCTCTTTTTCCTCACTGTAACAGATACAGAGGAGTGTGAGGAGTTGTGAGGAGTTGGGCCTTTTCTTATGGCTGCTAAGGTTCATGATAAAAACTAAATGAGTTCTCAGCGAACATATTTGCATAACAGAATAGCAATTATACTTAAAGTGTTTGGAGTTTGATTCACTTTTTCCATCTCTCTGGCAGGAATAGGCATAATACCCAAATCCAGATGGCTCAGAATCTTTTTCTCTCACTTTTTCTTTCTTTATCTTTTTGTTCATCTCTAGACACTTTTTTCCTAGACTCAGAACTTAACATTTGTATTAAAAAGTCTCAGTCAGATAATCAGTAAGCTGTGCTACAAGCCAGTGTATTAGCCCCCAAATTGCTATGCCAGAAAACAGCTGGGCTAAGAATCATTTAGTCAAACTGCTGGGACTGTTGGAACCTCTATCTGACAAGGAGAAAATTTTCCATTTTATTGCCCATTTTTATTGTCTTTGTGCACGAAAAGTCTTTCTTTATAGATTAGAGAAACTAACACACTAGTCCAAAGAAGCGTTTGAGTATTGTATTCATGTTGGCAATGGCAACTACTCCATCAAAACAGGTTTCTTTACTTACTTATAATTAGTTGCTAAATTTAACATGTCATGAAACAGAACAGTAGACCCATCAAGGGTAATCACAGCACTCCTTCTATTAGCCTTTTTGCTTCATAATTTTTTTCTCATTTGATTGATTTATGTTCCCTTTTTAGACCACCTGAGGCACTTTAGAAAGGCAGACCTTGCTGCAAAATGTTTGTCCATTCTAGCATATTGAATGTCACCATGTACACTCAAACAGTGTAAGAGACATAATTGACAGGTTCCTCTAGGTGTGGGTGGAGGAGGCACAGGCRGAAATTTTTACAGAGCTCATCCTGGAAATTAATTATGTTGCAGAGGTAGCTAGATAAGCTCTGATGGTGGGGAGGCATTAACATGCAGAGGTATTGCCCAGATAAGAAAAAAAGGGCTGTAACTATGCCAGGCCTGTATAATGATGTTTAATAGCATAGTGATAGTTTCTGCAACTGTAATATATAAATATAATGCAAGCATGACAACATTTGTTACAGTTGTGGTGGAGCACTGTTCAATTGTAAGATAACAAAGAGATGAGTTTGATGATGGTGGTGGATTTCTACAACAGCCTTACCAGTTACACAGTCATGGAAGAGTTAGCAGGGCCCCACTATGGTTGTGATTGCTGCTCCGAAATCCCTGGATTTCCCTGGTGCTAAAAGTCTACAAGATCTTGCTTTTGTCCCTGAGCATCCCTGTTGATGGCTCAAGGCCTCAGGATGTTGCATATGGTAAGGGTGATCTGTAAAAGAGCACACCTACCATAGCAGGTGACGATTGTGACCTGGTGGCAATAATGTTGGTCCTCTTTTTCTGACCCTATCCTAGTCATCCTTGGGTTTTCCATTTTGCTACTTAGATAGCATGAACTGTGGCTCTCTGGTGTTCATTCACTCCATTTTCTGGACACATTCATCATTACTGAGTCATCATTACTTGCTAAGCTGATCCAAAAGTGATGAATCATAACATCTTCCTATTACTGTGTCTTCACCTGCAGCTCTTCTCCACAGAAGAGCATTCCCTGAAACCCCTCAGAGGTCAGAGGTGATCTCTGCTGTCATCATTACCCTAGGCACCTAACAATTACATTTTTGCTCTTCTTGTCCTAAGTTTTACAAATTATGTTAAATGGGCAAGCAAGTAAATCTCTTCATGACAATTACATCAATTTAATTGTGGTCTTATAAATATATTGATAAGGACAGTAGAACAGAACAGTATTTACTCTGATAAGGACAGTAGAAAAAAATAGCACAGACTTGGAGAAATAAAGGATATAACTTAAGAAAACAGAAGTCAGGTAAAACAGAAGCAGGATGCCAGTTCAGCTCTGCAAGGCTGACAAAACAGAAGTTATGCAAAGCAACAATATTGCTCTTACTCAGAAGAGGTGTGGGTGTCGAGGTCCAGCCACATGGAAAAGACACCAGACATTCAAGATAAGCCCCGATGAACCATATAAAGACTTCAAATAAGGGGTGCAACTATGTAAAWTAAAGTAATACAYATACATCAAGTGAACAGAGWTAGCCAATGAATGTGTCAGCAGCATGTACAATAAAAAATCACAGTTTTGAATATTTACCCAATGCTTGGGGCACTTGGTTAAAGGAAGGATTCTCCAGGTGACCAGCATGTGGTAATAAAGAATGCTGCTTTCAAATACTCAAAACTGTGTTACAAAGTTTTCATCTGCTGTATCAA